GGCCCATTACAAAATGACTGTGGGATAACTCCCAATTCTCAGGTTCTTCTCAGAAGATAAATTAGTGTACTGTGTGTCTGATGGTCTTATTTTTTGCAGCTGCCTGAAGGACTTTTTTCTCTTTTGAATAACACAGACTGTAGTACTGAAGAAAATATCAGGAATGGGAGGATATAAGCTCTAAAATATATATAGAGAGATATATTTTAAACTGGGAAACACACACACAAGCTTCAGGTGAAGATGGCGATGTAAATAAATGCAGTACTGGCACTATCCAATAACCACATCAAAAAATACAACTAAACTACAAAAAAACCATCATTCAGAACTGCCTAAAACCTAGTTGAACAGAAGTCCTACAACTAAGAATATAAAGAAGCCTCATTGAGACTGGTAAGAGGTGCAAAGAATGGACTGGTTCAACGTGGTAGATAAAAATCATGAGTGATATTTTAGCTGCATAGGTCAACTCTGAGGAGTGAGGGGTCCCAGCCCCACACTAGGCCCAGCAGCCCTGGTATCCAGTGTCAGGAATAGATAGTTGTCTCCATTACTTCAGGCTGTAAAAACCAATAGGGATTGTGGCTGAGTGAGACAGAGAAATGTTGGAGTCCCAGGCAGTTCCCTTTAAAGGGCCCACACACAGCCCTGGCTGGTTTGGTTCAGTGGTTAGAACGTTGGCCCACGGACCAAAGAGTCATGGGTTCAATTCCAGCCAAGCACACATACCTCAGTTGCGATTCGTCCTCGGCCCTGGTTGGGGTCATGCGGGAGACAACCAATCAGTGTGTTCCTCTCACATCAATGTTTCTCTCTCTCTCTCTCTCTCTCTCTCTCCCTCCCACTCTTTCTGAAGATATTTGAGAAAATATCCTCAGGTGAGGATTAAAAAAAAAAAAAGATGTTCTACATTAATAGCCGATTAGGGAAATACAAAATCAATGAAAGAGCCTTACACCCCCATTAAAATAAATAAATAATTAATTAAATAAAGGGCCCACACACAGACATACTCAGACTCACTCCTCTGAGTTTCAGCACTGGTGTAGGAGCTTGAAAGCCACCAAGGAGATACAGGGAGGAACTGAAATTAATTGGTACTAAATAGAGCTGGAGGAGAAGCTTTCTCCCAGACAGAAGTTTCAATAGAGGCCATTGTTCCCATTCTGAGCCCCTCCCCCATACAGCAGACAGGCAGGCTCCATACATAAAACTCCATCTACCTGGCTCACACTGCTTGCCCCAGCCTGGAGATTTCCTGAGACCCTGCACCATCAACTTGTGAGCTCGCTCAAGCTATTTTCAGTGGCTTTTTTTTTTTTTTTTTGGTTGATCCTCACCTGAGGATATTTTTCCATTGTTTGTTTTATTTATTTATTTATTTATTTATTTATTTATTTATTTATTTATAGAGAGTAGAAGGGAAGGAGAGAGAAAGATAGAAGTGAGAGAGACACTTCAACTGGCTGCCTCCCTCACAATCCCAACCGGGAAATAAAACTTACAACCCAGGTATGTGCCCTTGACCGGAATCAAACCCATGACCCTTTGGTCCACAGGTACATGCTCTAACCTCTGAGCCAAACCAGCCAGTGCTCAGTGGCTTTTTTGATATATAGTCATAGCTCATGCTTTAATCTTTACTACAATCTCTCAAACAAGCAGCATCTGGCTTCAGTGTGTGCTGTATCTCTCACTAAGTGTCCCCAAGTCAGGCACTAGTGGCAGCCAGCCTTGGTTCACAGCTTGGCCTCTTCCCCAGAAACTGCAACCTCAGCACAAGTAGCAGCCATAAACATAACGCTTTGTAGACCATGCTGAGTAATCCCAGATAGAACACAAGCAGTGGTTGACCTTGACCTGCACTTCCTGGAGGCCCCAGGGCCAGCACACCTGATGGACACTTTCAAATCACATCTATGCACCAACCAAACCACCTCCACAAACAAACTCAAGGGACAGACTCAGCAGGCACCAGAACACTGCTGAAATAAGTCCTGTTCTGTGGGGTGAGCCCTCAAAACTGATCCTTCACAATGGTCGCAGCCAGTTTTTTCAGCTGATGAGCTTTGGCATAAATCCCTCCCACTGAAATTCCAGCAGCGCCCTGGCTGGTTTGGCTCAACAGTTAGAGCATCGGCCCACAGACCAGTGAGTCTCGGGTTCAATTCCAATCAAGGGCATGTACCTTGGTTGCAGTTTGTCCCTAGCCTGATTAGGGTGGTGTGGGAGGCAACCAGTCACTGTGTCTCTTTCACATTAATGTATCTCTGTATCTCTCTCTCTCTCCCTCTCTCCCACTCTATTTGAAGATAAATAGAAAAATATCTCAATGAAGATTAAAAACAATGAAATTCCAGCAGCAATAAAGGCCCAAAAACAATAGAAGGTATATACAGCCCACATGGTAGGGCACAGCTGGAGTGCCCAGCTCAGATGAATGGGCACAATGTGCCACTGGATGTTACAAGACATCTACATCTACTATATTACGTCACTCTAACAAGTCCAGGAGACATAGCAGCTCAAACTACTACATGGAAACAAACACAAAGATCTTTCCAAAATGAGGAGAAAAAAAGGTCTGAAATGAAAGAACAGATCAAAACTGCAGAAAAACATTAAACAAAACAAAAACAAGCTATGTACTATGATGCAGAGTTCAAAACACTGGTTATAAAGATGTTCAATTAACTTAGGGGAAGAGTAAATTAACTTAGGGAGAACGTCAAATCTTAAAATAGAACAAGGAAACCACAGAAAAGAGCCAGTAAGAAATGAAGGCTATACTAGCTGAAAGAAGAAGAATTGATAGGGAATCAACAGTACAGTAGATGAAGCCAAGAATCAAAACATAGATTTGGAATATAAGGAAGCAAAAAACTCCCAGTCAGAACAGCATAAAGAAAAAGCCATCCAAAAAAGTTGATAGTGTAAGGAACCTCTGGGAAAACTTCCAGCATACCAACACTCACATCATGTAGTGAGTAGATGCCATAATAAACGAGCAAGAAGAACAGAAAGATACTCATAGATACAAAGAACATTTTGATGTATGCAAGTTGTGGAGGTGGTTGGGGGGGGGGGTGAAAAAAATGAAGAGATTAAGAAAAACAAATTGGTAGTAGCAAAATAGTCATGGGGATATAAAGTACAAAATTTATTGGGATGATCGTGTAGTACGTTATATCATGCCTAGTCACTGGGGTGTACACCTGAAACTATTAACATAGTATATGTCGACTGTAATTCAAAAATTAAAAAAAGATTTACATACATACACCAATTAAACTTTCCAGAATAGGTTTCATAGGCCAGTACAAATTTACCACAGCTGATTATTATTTGTGTTCTCTTATACAAAGCAAGTTCATAAAGAAAGGCATGGCAGCTGCTTCACATAACTTTAAATTGCAACAAAAGAGCGCAGCTGGTGTGGCTCAGTGGTTGAGTGGTTGACCCAGACACCAAGAGGACCCTGGTTCGATTCCCAGTCAGGGCACATGCCCAGGTTGTGGGCCGAATTCCAAGTAGGGGTGGGGGCATGCAGAAGGCAGCCAATCAGTGTTCTCTCTCATTGATGCTTCTATCTCTTTCTCTGCCTCTCCCTTCCTTTCTCTTTAAAATCAATAAATAAAATAGAAAGAATATTTATTTAAAAAAATAGCATCAAAAGATCACAGAGCTTACAAAGAAACAGAAATACACAGTCTAATAAGAGGAATAAAAGAAATCTCCATAGTCCAGCAATACATCAAAAAAATTATTCACCATGACCAAGTAGGATTCGTCCTAGGGATGCAAGGATGGTACAATATTCACAAATCAATAAACGTGATACACCACATAAACAAAATGAAGAATTAAAACCACATGATCATATCAATAGACACTGAAAAAGCATTCGACAAAATCCAGCATCCATTTCTGATAAAAACGCTCAGCAATCTGGGAATAGAGGGATTGTATCTCGACATAATAAAGGCCATATATGAAAGACCTACAGCCAACATCATACTCAATGGGCAGAAACTAAAAACATTTCCCTTAAGAACAGGAACAAGACAGGGATGTCCACTTTCGCCACTCTTATTTAACATTATGCTGGAAGTCTATGCCACAGCAATCAGACATGAAGAAAAAATAAAAGGGATCCAAATTGGAAAGGAGGAACTGAAACTGTCATTATTTGCAGATGACATGATATTACACATAGAAAACCCTAAAGACTCCATCAAAAATCTACTAGACTTAATAAATGAATTTGGCAAAGTAGCAGGATACAAAATTAACGTCAAGAAATCGACAGCATTCTTATGCACCAATGATGAACTCACAAAACGAGAAACTGAAAAAAAAAAATCCCATTTACCATCGCGGCAAAAATTAAGATACCTGGGAATATACTCAGCCAAAGAAGTAAAAACCTATATGCAGCCCTGGCCGGTTTGGCTCAGCGGTTAGATTGTCGGCCTGTGGTCCAGAGAGACCCGGGTTCGGTTCCCGCTAAGGGCACGTACCTTGGTTGCAGTTTGTCCCCGGCCCTGGTTGGGTCGTGTGGGTGGTGGCCACTCGATGTGTCCTTTTCACATCGATGTTTCTCTCTCTTCCTCTCTCTCCTTCCCGCTCTATCTGAGTAAAAAATGGGAAAATGTCCTCGGGTGAGGATAAAAAAAAAAAAAAACCTATATGCAGAAAACTACAGGACATTGAAAAAAGAAATAGAGGAAGATATAAAAAACTGGAAGCACATACCCTGTTCATGGATTGGAAGAATTAACATCATTAAAATGTCCATATTACCCAAAGCAATCTATAGATTCAATGCAATCCCCATCAATATACTAACAACACATTTCACAGAACTAGAACAAATACTTCAAAAGTTCATATGGAACCAAAAAAGACCCCAAATAGCCACAGCAATTTTGAAAAAGAAGGACAAAGAAGGTGGGATCACAATACCAGATATCAGGTTATACTACAATGCGACTGTAATCAAAACATCCTGGTACTGGCACAAGAACAGGCACAAAGAACAGTAGAACAGAACTGAGAACCCAGAAATGGACCCAAGGCAAAATGCTCAATTAATATTTGACAAAGGTGGCAAGAGCATACAGTGGAGTAAAGATAGTCTCTTTAATAAATGGTGTTGGGAAAATTGGACAGCTACATGCAAAAAAATGAAATTAGACCATCAACTTACACCATACACAAAAATAAACTCAAAATGGATAAAAGACTTAAATGTGACCCGTGAATCCATAAAAATTCTAGAAGAAAATATAGGCATCAAAATTTCGGACATCATACGCAGCAGAATTTTCACTGATACATCACCTAAGGCAACAGAAACAAAGGAAAAAATGAGCACATGGAACTACATCAAACTCAAAAGCTTCTGCACAGCAAAAGAAACAATCATCAAAATAGAAAGGCAACCCACTGTATGGGAGAACATCACTGCCAATGATACATCAGATAAGGGATTAATTTCCAAAATATATAGAGTACTCATACAACTCAACAAAAGGAAGACAAAGAACCCAATTAAAAAATGGGCAGAGGAGCTGAATAGACACCTCTCCAAACAGGACATACAAATGGCCAAGAGTCATATGAAGAAATGCTCAACATCACTAATCATCAGAGAAATGCAAATTAAAACAACAATGAGGTAACACCTCACACCTGTCAGAATGGCCACCATCAACAAATCATCAAACAAGTGCTGGCAGGGTGTGGAGAAAAGGGGACTCTAGTACCTTGCTGGTGGGAATGCAGACTGGTGCAGCCATTATAGAAAACAATATGGTGTTACCTCACAAAATTAAAAATTGAACTTCCATTTGACCCAGTGATCCCACTTCTAGGAATATACCCTAAGAAGCCTGAAGCACCAATCAGAAAGAATATATGTACCCCCATGTCCATAGCAGCACTATTTACAACAGCTAAGATCTGGAAACAGCCCAAGTGTCCATCAGTAGACGAATGGATAAAAAAAAGCAGTGGTACATATACACAATGGAGTACTATGCAGCTGTAAGAAAGATCTCTTATCCTTTGAGATGACATGGAGGGACCTGGAAAGTATTATCCTAAGTGAAACAAGCCAAGCAGAAAAAGACAAATACCACATGATCTCACTTATATATGGAATATAATGAATGTAACAGTGAGGAATAGGGTAGACCCAGAAACACGGAAGTAGGGTACAGACTGACAACCCTCAGAAGAGGGGGTGGGAGGATGGGAAGAGATAAACCACAGAACTTATATGCATGTATGCATAACCAATGGACATGGACAACAAAGCCAGGGACAGGGTGGGGGCGATTGGGAGGAGGGTGTCAATGGGGTAAAAAAGGAGAAACATCTGTAACAAAAATAAAATTAAAAAATAAATTAATAAATAATAAATAAAATTTAAAAAAATAAAAAAAGAAATCTCCACAAATCAGTCCTATGTTAATGAAAATCTATTAATTACCTGACCAAAAATTCAAAATAACTATCTTAAAGTGGCTCAACTGGAAAACAGAGGAAAAAATACAGAAAACTAAATATTAGCACTAAAGCTGTACATGATGCCCTGACTAGTTTGGGTCAGTGATTAGAGCGTCAGCCCGTGGACTGATGAGTCGCAGGTTCAATTTAGGTCAAGGGCATGTACCTCGGTTGTAGTTCATCCTGGCCTCAGTCGGGTCATGCGGGAGGCAGCCAGTCAATGTGGCTCTATCACATTGATGTTTCCCTCTCTCTCTCTCTCCCTCCCTCTCACTCTATCTGACAATAAGTAGAAATATATCCTCTGGTGAGTAATAAAAAAAAACTATGCATGACAAAATTAAAAATGTGAAGAGGCAGAAAATATAAAAAAGAACCAAACAGATATTGAGAGCTGAATAATACAGCAGCAACAGAAACATCAACAACAGACCAATAATCAAGCAGAAGGAAGAATAAGACAACCTGGATACCTATCCCCAGTGTTCCTGGATTTGGGAACTGACTTCTAGTATCTCAACCACTTCCCTCACAAATTACTTACATAAAGCAGAAAAGAGGCTTAAATTGGTTCAACACAGAATTCCTCAGCACTGTGCTTAGACTTTCCCAGGTTCCCCAAAGAAATGCAAGAGTAGCCAGGTCATGTCACCCTCACACTGCTCAGGGAGGACTTTGGCTCTCACTGCAAGTGTGATGGAAAATCACAGGAGCACAAGGAGAATCCTTACATGATGTCAGAGTGTAAGTGTTGGAGAGGATCTGTCCAAGACAGAAACAGAAATAAATCTCACCCTCTCAAAAATCATTTCCCTTGAAGCAGATCTTCCCAACCCATATTTCAAAGTCTGGCTTCCTCTATGACTGTTGGCCTCCCAACTGGGTCAGCTACTTCCTTCATTCCCACCTACCTGGGTGGATGGATATTGTGTTTTCTCTCTTCAACTCGCAGGGTTCCTCCATCTGATCCAAAAAGGTAAGAAGATCTGGTGTAGACACAGGAAGACCTGTTTATTTAAAAAAGGAATATGGGATTTAATGGAGATTCTCCAATTTCCAATCCAGTCCTGTGCTCAAGTGACAAGAGAGAACATTATAGAATATCAGAATATTCTAGAAATTTATTTCCCAAAATATTATTTTCTGACACAACATCTCAAGTTTTTAGATCCTGAGTTCCATTTCCAGTACATCCTAAAGCCTTTCTTTTTTGCACCAGCACACCCCCAATTTTTTTCCTTGAGAACACAGATCTGAAACTCTATCATACAAAACACATGCTCCCAGGATATACTGTCCTAATGAAGAAAACAAAACCCTGTGGGTGGAGCAGAAACTCTGTTCAGAAGTGGTCCTCACCCAAGAATACCAGGTTCCTATAGTTCTGCAACATCACGTCCATGTACAGTTTCCGCTGAGCTGGGTCCAGGCAAGCCCACTCCTCCTGAGAGAATTCTATGGCCACATCACTGAATGTCAGGAGTCCCTGCTAAAAAAACAAACACATTACTCAAGTGACCATGAGCACAATTCATCATGTGACTATATATGAAAACAGTTGATGGAACTGGTTTTGACTAGAAGAGGATCCTGCAGTATCCAGTAAGATCATTTCGACACTAACATTCTCTAAAGTATTTTGATAAAGGAGAATGACATATGATCCACAAACCACTGTAGAGGCTTTACTTTTCTGAAGGACAAATTTTAAAAATAAAGGTATGAACACAGGCATATCCATTTGAAAGCTGTATTTCAATCATAAAGGATCGAGTGTACATATTTCTTAGGTGGAAAAGTCATTTTGAATGAACACTGTATAGTACTTCTAAGTCTTTAATATGTACAACAATGAACTGGAGTTCAGAAAAATGGAAAATCTAATTCAGGAATTCTGTGGTGGTGCTTGAGTTTCCACATGTTCAACCAGTTCACTAGGGACGCCAATGTGTCTGGTCCAGGTGCCACACCTTTAGATAGCACAGAGGAAGAAAACACAGGCAAGAAATTCGTATACAAGACTGAGTGAGGAGTTTTATGGAATTTACAGGTCTCACAGATGTATAAGCCTAGCAACCACAGTCCTTCTCTAAAGTTTACTATGTACTAGATGTTGTTCTAACAGTTGTCTATATATGAATTAATAACTCTCATAAGTAATCAGAGGACAATGATATTCTTCTTCTTTTTTGAGACTATTTTGTAAAACATCCAGCAAATGGCAGAACCTGGGTGTTACTTCAAACTTTATCTAGTATGAGTCTGTGAATACAATAAAATTTTACAGTTCTAAGGCCTGACTGATAAAAGCTCCCACTCGCAAAGCTTCTATCGCCAGTAAACAAAAATGAGAATGTTTATTTTGCAATGCAACCTATGAGCAAAATAAGACTAAAAAGAAAAAAGGAGTTTCCAGACGAAATACGATTGTTTATATATATCTTTCAAAAGATTTCTGTAAGACCCTTATTAAGGATAAAGAAAATACTAACTCTATAGTTCAAGAACCTGGCAGAGAACACCAGCACCAAGTGAAAATCAGGTGCAAAGGAAAGGACAACAGGTGACTGAAGCACACAGGACACTTCATCACCAACACTAGTTTATACAAATTTCAATCCACAGATACCTCCCATATTCTGTAAATGTAGCAGTGCCTTTAAAGGGTAAGTCTTTCTTGCCAACGTAAAGAGCAAGTCTCTCTAGGCGATTTTTCTTTTTCACAGATTTCTGATCTAATCCCAGCCAGTAAGCCCATCCTGGTTAAATGTGCATTTTTCTATCCTGTCCTACAGAGCAGATGTTGCAGCCATACGAGATCTAAAACCTACATTGCCCTTCTACACACCCCAACTCAATAGGGATCTTGGATATCAATGCCTTCCCATGTTGATCTGTCACAAAGAAAACATTTTCAAAGGTTGAAGCTGTAGGGGTTCAGAACAAGGCCCCCTAAGATGTGTTCCAATGGTATGTGGATTATGTTGAGCAAAAGGCACCAAGACCCTGTGACCTCAAGAGAAACTTCTGCTCTTCCCCTTAACATCCCGGGAGCCTGATTCACAATAAGGGTTAAAACTAAAAATTACTTTTTACGTATGTATACTGTAGGCATTGTAGTAATTCCTGAACATGTGATCTTCTGGCAATGATCTTTTGAAGTCCCAAGGTGCATTACCTCATCCCAGGCTCAGAATGTCTTATATACCAATTTTCCCTTTCTGTCTCCAAACCTCTCGTGCATTTGGGGTTTCTGACTCTAAAGTACGTGGAGCTCCCATACACATTGTATGTGTTAAATGTGGATATTTCCCCTTGCTAATCTGTCTCATGTCTGATTACACCAGAATAATTTTGACGTTAGAAGAAAGTATCTTCCACCCTGGCTGGTTTGGCTCAGTGGTTAGAGTGTCAGCCCATGGACCAGAGAGGATTCGGTTCCCACTAAAGGCACATACCTCTGTTGCAGTTTGTCCCCAGCTTCTGTTGGGGTTGTGTGGGTGGCAACCACTCAATGTGTCTGTCTCACACTGATGTTTCTCTCTCTCTCTCTCTCTTCCTCCCCCTCTCCCTCTCTGCTCTGTCTGAAGGTAAATGCAAGAATGTGCTCGGGTGAGAATAAAAAAAAAGTATCTTCCTCCCCCACAATGGTCATTAATTTATGCACTACAGGGGACGTAGATAGAGACAATGGACAGAAGTCTGTTGGACAAAAGGAAAAAGTATTCCTGAGATGCTGTATGGACATCACCACCACTCAGCTCCCTACTCAAAAATGCAGTGGTAGCTGACTTTATCTCCCTCCTAAATGCCTGTATCCTTGTACATGTTGAAACTGCTGACACACGAGTTCTGACTGCTCTATGACCTTCCTGGGTGGCTCTAGTGAACTACACCGTCATCTTTCCCCCACAGCACAGGTGCTAACAACCAGGTAACCCAGTTTGAACAGAAAATTTCCACCAGCAGGTCTTTTTCAATCCCCCTCCTACTTTGTCCCAAGCTTATTAAAGCAGCCAGGCAAAGCCAGTGCCTGATTCAGTTCAGAAGACCTCCCTTTCTTCTGTGTTGTCTCCCTTATGCTCAAGCACAAGCCTAATAAAATGTGCCCAGAAATTTCTCTGGTGGTTCCTCTTGATTTCTATCTTGGAAACCTAAAAGCCCAAACGCCAGTAATATTTGAAAGACGGAGTTTGAAAACAACCTCGCTAGGAAGGATCATCAAAGTAGAGTAGTAAAGGGTTGCAGCTTCTAAAATCCACAAACTTTAGAAAGAAATGCAAACACAAAACTGACCCAAGACAGAGTTTACCTGAGAAGCAGCCATTGTGTCCTCTTCCTCCTCCAGTTCTGGGATGTTTTCTCAGGTGACTTTATGTTGAGGAATCACACCTGCATCTTGAGAATAGGCCTTGATTTCACCACACTCACAGGCAGAAGGACCTTGAAGTCATGAAAAATGTCACACTCCCCTGTCCTTTGTCACAGGAGACATTCAGAAACAATGAGCTCCTACATGAAGACCACACTGAGTTTTTCTCTCCTGACTTCCCATACTCTCCCCTACCACAGATGTGCACCAATTCCAACCCAGCAATGAGAACATGGGCTGCTCTCCTGCCCCGCCCATTCCCGACAGAGCACCCTGCTATCTGCCCTGGACCAAAGCCTGCTCTCAACTCTCACGACTGCACTCGGGCAGAGCCCTTCAGCTAAACACTGGCCTCACTTTTGAATCCCCTGGAGCACCACCTAAAAACCACAATGATGTTCCACCCAGACCATTTGTCCAACTCTGAGGGGGAGGGTCATGATATTTCTTAAAACTCATCAAATGATCTAATGGAAGGGGGCCACTTAGCTAAGCATTTCTTCTTCAGCTTTCACGTACACGCCGAACCCTTGGGTATCAGGGTCGCGATCTGAAAAGTTATGATTCTGTAGGTCTGCAGTAAGGCCCATGAAATGGCATCTCCCGCTAGTTCCTGGTGGAGCTGACCTGCTTTCAGGAGCAGTGGGCTAGAGACACTAGACTCAACACACCTGAGACCCGAGTAGTGTGACGGGTTGGGGTAGGATCTTCTAGAAGGGCAGGCTCTCAGAGTGAATGCCTAAAGGTGATGTTGTCCTGGAAGGGGTGTGGCCAGGCCCTTAGGTATTGTGCAGGTACAAGGGGGAAATCATGTGGTAACAGAGTTGTGTGAGGGGCCTACTCCCAGATTCCTTCCCAAACTACCTTGAGTTTCCAGGTCTTCACTCCCTGCCCTCTCATGGGCCTCGTGGTATAAAACAGGACAATCCACTGCCTGATCCCTGTATAAAGGTAAGTGGAGCCTGGATCCTTAAGAGACGAGGAGCAGAAAGGTATTTACCTCACAGCTTTATTTGAAAATGAACCAAAGAAATATACTCTAGAAGCCTGTCAAGAAATAAGATTGTTCGCATCCCATTCATTTTCACATTCTCCAACTGATTTTCAAATATATTTTTATTGTTGTTCTTATTACTGAATTGCATATTTCTGTGTCCAGATTTCCCCTTTTAATAAGGACACTAGTCATATTGGAGGAGGGCCCACTATTAATATCCTTATGTTAACCTGATTATCTCTTTAAGGATCCTTTCTTTAGACAGAGTAATATTTCAAGATATGGTTAAGACTTTGACTAATGAATTTTGAGGGACATGACTGAACCCCTAGAAGTTTATGTATGTGTGTGGGTGGGTGTGAATATGTCTATAAAAATGTTATCACATGTGTAGCTTTGTGTAAAGCAGGACCACAGGCAACATCCTTAACTTGGCCCCTCTTCTAACTACTCCCACCCCCATCCCAGGGCAACAACCACTTCTCTGTTCTCTATATTGAGGTGACTAGATTTAATTTTAATAACTTTATCATCACAAACAATCATTAAATCACAAATTTTATTTAACCCAATGTCTTTTGTTTAACTGAATATATTTTCACCCTAAATAGTTCTACTATAATAGTCAGTATTTAAAGAAAATTAATTGCTAAGGTATTTCACATCAATTTTTTCTTACTAAATTTTGAAGAATCAGTGTGTATTTTCCACTGAACACACATTTCAACAGACACTGGCCACAGCTCACAAGCTCAATGGCCACATGAGGAGACTGGCTGCCATACTGGGTGGGCCAACACTCAAGTATAAACATGAAAGTATTTTATTGAAATATGAGGAATGACTATGCCCTGTGAAAACGCAACTTTTTCAGTTTCTTAACACTTTCTTTGTGGCCAAGTATAACATCAGTTTTGTAACTGAACATAATCTTAGAAAAAGAATGGATCATTTTTTGGTAGGATCAAAGTTGAATCTGTGTGTATGTACACTATCAAGGTGTTATTCAGTCTTTTAGCATAGTGTTATTTAGTCTTTTCATCCTTGTTGTATTTGTCTACAGATCTTTCAAGTTCTGAGAGGGGAATTAAAGAAAAACTTCCATTCTACCTATGTTTCTCAATTCCTCCCTGTATTTCCAATCATTGTCATTCATCTTTAGCTTTGTCTGTCACTTGTACTTATATTCATGACTACTCACTTACTCATCCAAGTTTTATTAACCATCTCCTTGGTGCCTGAAAGTGGAGACACAGAACAGAACGAGACCAAGGCCATGCACATGTCAGGTGGATACTCTACCCAGTAGGCAGACAGTAAACATGTAAACAAATAAATGAACAGAAAACTATCTGAGTCTGGAGAAGCCCAATAAGGACAAGTTAAAACAGCCTGATGGAATCATAGTTTGAAGTGGTTGGCTAGAAGAAAAACCACTAAGAGTTGAGAACAAGGGAACAGCCATGGCAAAGGCCCTAAGGCAGAAACCTGCCTATGTGTTTAAGGAACAGTGAGGAGGCCCCTGTGCCGGAAGCTGATCCAGGGAGTGGGAGAGAATAGGAGGTGGAGTACAGAAGGAGTAAAGGGGGTCAGATGCTGTGGAAACAGGTATGGGGACAGGGGACAGGGGGCAGGTGAACTGAAGGGGAAGAGGGTTTGGAAGACCTAGTGGGTTCCTTAAGAGCACAGAGGGATCTAACAGGAAACATTTTGCAATAATTACTTTCACATACAGTGACACAGGTCTGGTGCTGGGGCTTTCTACAAATTCACTCATTTAATTGCAAAGCTGAAGCCATTATTATCCCATTTCACAGAGGCTGGACCCAAGGCACAGAGAGGTAAATAATTTGCCAAAGTCACACAGCTTGTCACAGAACCAAGATGTGACTTGACTCTGGGCCTTCTACTGCCAGCATCTGAGCCTTTCCCTCTTCGGCCTCAATTTCCTTATCTGTCCAAAATAAACTAATAATAGTCCTTCTACCATGGAAATGTCTGTCCCCAGGTCAATTAAAGAGAGACAAGCATTTCCTGCATCTTTCCCAGGGATCCATAACAAATTATTTAAAATATATGAAATGAACATTGTTGTAGCTCCCAGCTTACTAATTTACCAAATTATATAAGTGGAATAAAAGAGCTGCTGAATGTTAGACTAACTCACTAAAACAAGGTTCTGAATGTCAAGAACATAGACATCCTTATCAAGTGTACATTAAAACAGCCTAATATTATTTATATGTACCAATGGATGTTTGCACACATACTAAAGAGTAAAAAGAAGGCAGGGCTCATCATCTACACCAGACACAATATATTTTAAAGGGAAAACAATTTGGGATTTTAAAAAATATAATGGTTTCTAGGATTAATTTTTTTTTTTAATTTATACTACCTCGTATTTAGAAAATAATGATAAGAGCTGGTTATGAGATGTCACCAAAGCTTATTTCAGAAGGTAATGATCACTTACCAAAAAGGAAAAAAAGCAGAAATTCAATAAACAAAGATTTATTTCAGTATGTTTTTTTTAAAAAAACACAGTGTAGTAAATGTAAGAGAGGTAAAAAAGGAAAAAGTCAACCCATTTCAAAGAAATAAAAGACCAACACTTTTAATACTCCTTGAAAAGGCATCATGTAGTGACAGACTTGGTCATTTCTTGTCCCAGCTCACCTCTCTAATCCCATCCCAGGAAATGAGAGGCGACCACGACTGGCTGAGACAAGTCTCCCCCTCTGGCTGAATAAGGACTGCAAATGGAAGCTATCCAGTGGTGCAAATAATTATAAAATGCATAAGCCTTATAAACTGGAGTTTTGCATTTCTCATCCTTGTCTGTATAACTGCAATAATTAAGTGGATTTTAAGTTAAATAGGTTATAAAGCCACAAGTCAACACATCACAACTTAACCATGCACATCCCATCAGTTCTCCACTCCTCCAGATCTGGGTTCCTCTTCTTCCTCCACTGCATGTATTTCTGTCTCTCAGTTTGTTTAGGTCTCTCTCTTTCTTGTTTCTCTCCACTGTTACCCGTCTCCATCTTTCCTCTCGCGCTCTCTCCCTTTCCCAGACTCCTTTCCCAGTGCTGTTTCTTCCTCTGCTGTCATCCCTTTGCCCTTTCTGTTCCTGACTGGGCTCCTCCAACTCTTTTTCTCCTAACTGTCTCCATCTCAAGTGTCTTGCCCTTTCCGGCCCCACGTACGCTAACCAAGGGCTCCTCTCCCTTTTTGCTCCCCTTCTCTGGGGCTCCTCCCATCCCTTCGTGGTTCTCTAATTTCTGTCTCCATTTGCTACTTTCTGGGCTACTCTTTCGCACTTTGCAAGGACCACCCACACACTCATTGTCCCGGCTCTTCACGACCCTCCCACTGACCTTTCTGCCCTCTCACTGCTCTATTCCTTTCACATTATCTTTCTCCCGATCCTCCTCACCCCCGCACTGCGCCCCTTTCCCGGCCTTCCCTCGCGGTCCCCGCTTCCACAAAGCCCCTCCCAGCGTGGCGGGGCTGACCTCTGCTTGGGACACCCCGTTCTTCCGTCCTAACCCCCCCTCAACGCAAAGTGTACTCTTCCCTGGCATCGGCCTCTCATGTACCACAGGAGTGGAGGGAGTCTCGGGAAGGGGCCGGGGGCTGCAGAACCCCCGGCAGGCAGAGTCCGGCTCGCGGCCGCTGGGAACTGCGAGGCTGGGGGAGGGGCGCGAGGTTTGAACCCCTCTCTCAAGACTGCAAATGGCGTGGGGCGGGGGGCTGGCGGTGAAAGGTTTTAGCAGGAAAACGAAGACAAAAAGCCCACACAGGCAGGGCCGACGCAGGAAGTTTAAGCAAAACTAAAGCGGAGTCTCAACCCGGAAGCGAAGCCCTCAGGGTCCGGACGTCTCCTCGGGACGCGAGACTTACCGTTGTTGGAAACGAGGGTTTGGGGAATTCAAGGTCCGTCGAGACCCCCGGGCTTCCTATATGTAGGAATCTGGGCAAAGATGCTCAGGTTTTAACGAAAAAGACCAAAAGTCGCAGGACCAGAGTGACCTTCCCCCTGTACTAGCCCCTTCCGGGTCTGAAAGGAACTGCTCGTGCGCGGTGCAGACAACAGGGGCCGGAGGCTGGGCGGGGCCCGCGGGCCGTGGGCGGGGCTCCGGTCGGCCAGAGCTCCGAGTGGCCGGGGCTCCCGGTCCAGGGAGGGTAGAGCGGCCGGCCGCAGATGGGGCAGGAGCCAGAAGGGGGGCGGGGGACCGAGGAGCACAAAAGGGGATGACGCACACGCGGGAGGGAGGGGGGAGGCGGCATCTGGGGCGGTGGGTTAGGGCTGGGCTCAGATACGGAGGGAGGCTCCTGTGCGGGGTGTGTAAGGGCCTGAGGAAGAAAGAGGTGGGGCTGCGGCCCGAGCAGCGCTGCCCGCGGAGGGGGGGGCGGGGCGCCCAGGATGATGGCCAGGTTCAGTACTGGGGTGAACTAGGGTCAGGCCGGGACTGTTGTCTATCTGGCTCTGAGTTTGTATTTTCTGATTTCTGAACCTGTTCAATTTCTTTTGTGCCCTGTGAAGCAGGGCTACTCCCTGCCCGTTTTAAGTTCCTATTTCAAACAGTTTAGTGTAAAATGTAGAGTTCTATGGGCCAGTTATGTTGAAAGCAAAAATGTCTTTGTTTTAACAGGCTGAAAATGGACTTACTCAGAACTGCTCCTGGGAAGTGGTAGACAGGCCTCGGTGTCTGGGCAGAGATGCCAGCTGAACTCCACCTCTGGGGTCTTGGAACCCGGACTAACATTACAAGTTTGGGAGGAAGTCTCAGCAATTAGAATTTATCAAGCAAGGACTGTAATTGTCTGCTCAGGGGATGCAATCTTGAATGTGAAATTCAAAATTTTACCATTGTGAAACATGCCATTACATACCAACATCTATCAGAAAGAACATCATTTCCATTTCTGTTCCCTATGAACTCTGTGTGCAGTCCTGTGCTCAGTTGTAGATGTTTTTGCAAGTGTTATTGGTGGGTGTCCTCCATGTCCCTACCTGTTGCTGGTAGAAGTGGAGCTCTTGGGGTGCCATGGGATCAAGGATCTCCTGCGGCCCCCAGTGGAGTATGAGGTATGTAGAAAGCATTATTGATGAGTTAACATTAGGAGAGTTCCCTTCCATGGTCCCTCCCTCTGTCTCGCCATGGAAAAAGTCCCTTTTTTTTTTTTTCAGTAGAACTAGAAACAAGCCACTGCCCAGAGTTTCCATTCCATGTTAAAGCACAATCCGGCCCAGCATCTGGCTAGCTTAGCCTGTGTTCCCAGCTGCAGTCCATTGTGTATGGGGTCCCCATGGCCATGAGCCATGTGACTTCTAGGGCCACATGGCAGGCTAGCAAGCAAGTACAAGGGCAAGTAAGCAAGGGGAACAAGAGAGAATTTGGGGGGGGTGATTATGTATTCCCAAATTTTCATGCATTGGGGTCCATCCTCCTAGCCAGTTATCTTTGTTCCCAGGTTAGACTGACATGCAAGCACCTTCCCTATTCATCCTGATTTAACTACCCATGCACTGATTTTCCCCTTTTTTGGACCCCTTCACTCAGTGCTTTGCAGGGAATAAACTTGTAGTTCCCTGGGGAGAGTAAAGTTGCAGCTTACTGGTGAAGCTGCCCATATGTTCTAGGTCTGTTGTATGTCTTAACTTGTGGATAAAAAAAGCAGTGGCACATATGCACAATGGAACACTGTGCAGCTGTAAGAAAGAAAGATCTATCCTTTGAGACAACATGGAGGGACCTGGAGAGTATTATCCTAAGTGGAACAAGCCAAGCAGAGAAAGACAAATATCACATGATCTCACTTATTTGTGGAATATAATGAACAAAACAAGTTGATGAATAAAATAGACCCAAAGACATAGAAGTAGGGTACAGATAAACAAACCTCAGAAGAGGGGGGTGGGGGAGAGAAGAGATAAATCACAGAACTTATATGCATGTATGCATAACCAAGGACATAGACAACAATGCTAGGGGCGGGGGTGGGGTGCGTCAGAATTGGGAGGAGGGTGTCAATGGGGGGGGATGGAGAAACATCTGTAACAAAAATAAATTAATTAAAGAAAAAGAAAAAAAAAGGACAAACATTGTGTGATGCCAGTTACATGAAGTGCTTGGAATGATGATTTCATAGAGACAGAAAGTAGAAGAAAAGTTACTGGAGGCTGAGGACAGGAGGATTGGGAGTTATTGCTTCATGGGTACAGGGTTTCTGTTTGAGATGATTAAAAGGATCTGAACATGGTGATAGTAGCACAATATTGTAAATTTACTTAATATCATTGGATTGTAAAATAAAAAAGGGTTAAAATGGTAAAAAAAAAAAAAAAAGTTTCTCTCTTTGTTTTTAACCTTTGGCATTTTGATGATGATGTGTCTTGGTGTGGACCTCTTTGGGTTCATCTTCTTTGGGACTCTCAGTGCTTCCTGGACTTGTATGTCTGTTTCCTTCACCAAGTTAAGGGAGTTTTCTATCATTATCTTTTCAAATAGATTTTCAATTTCTTGCTCTCTCTTCTTCTGGCCACCCCCATGATATAAATGTTGGCATGCTTGAAGTTGTCCCAGAGGGTCCTTACACTATCCTCATTTTTTTGGATTATTTTTTCTTTTTGCTTTTCTGATTGGGTGTTTTTGGCTTCCTTATATTCTAAATCGATGGTTTTCTTCTTGGTTTTACCTACTCTACTATTGATTTTCTGTAAATTATTCTTTATTTCAGTTAGTACATCCTTCATTTCTGACTGGTCCTTTTTTTTTATCCTCACCCAAGGACATTTTTGCATTCATCTTAAGATAGAGCGGGAGGGAGAGAGGAGGAAGAGAGAGAGAAACATCGATGCGAGAAAGACATATTGAGTGGTTGCCACCCACACGACCCCAACCAGGGCAGGGATAAACTGTAACAGAGGTACGTGCCCTTAGTGGGAACTGAACCCGGAACTCTCTGGTCCCCACTCTAACCAATGAGCCAAACCAGCCAGGGCAAGACTGGTCCTTTTTTATGTTGTTGATGTTCTCACTAAGTTCCTTGAACATCCTTATAACTGGTGGTTTGAGCTCTCCATCTGATTAATTGCTTATCTCCATTTTGTTTAGTTCTTTTTCTAGAGTTTTGTTCTCTTCTTTCATTTGGAACATGTTTCTTTGTCTCCTCGTTTTGGCTGCCTCACTGTGATTGTTTCTATGTATTAGGTAGAGTTGCTATGACTCCTAGGCTTCATAGGGTGGCTTATTGTTGTAGCTGTCCTGTAGGATCCAGCCTCCCTGATCACCCCAGCTGGGCCTTCGTGGTGCACCCCTAGTGTGGACTGTACACCCTTCTTTTGTAACTGAGTCTCGACTGCTGTTGGCACATCAATGGGAGGGATTTACTCAGGCTGATCAGCTACAAGGCCTGGTGGTGACCACGGACCACTGACCTATGACTACCTTGGAGGATCAGCTGTGCAGGGGCCCACCACACAGAGCAAGACTTACTTCAGCAGGGCTTTGGTACCCATTGAGTCCACTCATTGAGTGTGACACTTGTGGAAGTGGTGGTGTGGTGGTGCTTCAATGTAGTCTTAAGCTGTCCACTGGGTGTACTGGCTCTGGGGATAGGTCAGCCATTGCCTGTGTTCTACCTGGGGCCACCTGGCATAAGCTACACAGTAATCTGCTAATGGCTGCTTCTTGTGCTGGGCTTGGAGTTGTTCAGGAAAAGCCAAGTTGTGAACCAAGGCTGGCTGCTTCTAGTGCCAGGCCTGGAGCCACTTAACGAGAGGTATGGGGCTCGCTAAGACTAGATGCTGCTTGTTTGAGAGATTTTAGGAAACTCTGAAGCAGGATCCAAGACAGGCCAATCCTATGGTAAAGCCACTGGAAACAGCTTGGGTTGTCCCAAAAGTTGGGTGACGTGGGGCCTCAGGGAATCACCAGGGTGGGCCAAACAGTGTGAGCCAGATTGCTGAAGTCCCAGATATAGCACCAATCTGCCGCCCTTGGGAAGGGCTCACCAAAGGAACAAAGGCATTTCCGTCCGGGAAAAAGCTGCCCCTCCAGCCCCCACTCCAATGCCAAACAACCCAGTTCTTCACTGTAAGTCTCTGGTGCCTTTCAAGCTGCCTCCCCCATGCTGAAGCCTGGAGAGTGGGAGTCTGAGCAGGAACTGCCTGGGACTACAGCAGCCTCAACCTCCCTCGGCCTCGGTTCCTGCTGGTTTTACAGCCAGAAGTGATGGGGACTTCTCTTCCTGGCACTGGAACCCTGAACTGGGCACCTGGTGTGGGACAGGGACCCCCACACACACACACTCCTCCGGGAAAACCTTCACAGCTGAGGTATCCCTCCTGATTTTTATCTGCCACATGTGGTTATGGGACCACCCGGCCATGCCTCTACCCCCCTACTAGTTTCAATGTGGCTGCTGCTTTAATTTTGTAGTTGTGGGACTTCCATTCAGCACGATGTCTGCTGGTTCTGAATGATGGCTGTCCTGTAGTTTAGTTGTAATTTTGATGTGGTTGTGGGAGGAGAAGAGTACTGTGTTTATTTACACTGCCCTCTTGACCAGAAGTCATAATGTTCTTTCTTTATGTAAGGAATTTTTTTGTCTAGTTACCCAAACTTTGTTTATTTTTCTTTAAAGTATAGTAATTTTAGGAATATATTTTGGTCAGTCAAGCTCTGGCCGGTTTGGCTCAGCAGTTAGAGTGTCGGCCTGCGGTACAGAGAGACCCGGGTTCGGTTCCCGCTAAGGGCATGTACCTCGGTTGCAGTTTGTCCCCGGCCCTGGTTGGTCGTGCGGGTGGCAGCCACTCGATGTGTCCCTTTCACGTTGATGTTTCTCTCTCTCTCTCTTCCTCTCTCTCCCTCCCACTCTACCTGAACAAAAAAATGGAAAAATGTCCTCGGGTGAGGATAAAAAATAAATAAATAAATAAATAAATAAATAAATAAATAAATAAATAAATATTTTGGTCAGTCAAGGTCAATATTTATGTAACATCATCTTCCAATATATACTTTCAATTTTGTTTCTTGATTC